AAATTGTTACTATTGCTTCGGGATTCAGTGCCAGCTATGGTATTATAAGCACACCCGGCAAGTATAAGCAGCACTTATCCAAATATGTATAGGTTATTTTGAGGCAACTAGGGGATATATTCCCGAGGTGCTTCAAAATAACGTACTTATTTTTCACATTGCGAGGTTATTATTAATATTATTATTATTATTACAATATTGCCTGCTCCCAAAAGGGCTTTTCAGCAGGTAATTACAAATCATTTATATGCTACAAACAATATATATATACAACCGCAAACATACATGCATATACATACAAACACAAATTAAAATTTTATAATTATTAGTAATGTCACTTTAAAAATGATTAATAAAATCCGTACGGTAAAAACGTTTATATGCTAATTTAAACAAGCCCAAATTGTCTAAAACTATTAACTACTTTCTAAAAATCCATGCAATAAATGAAATTTATATTCTAGTTTAAACCGATCCAAAGTGTCAATGTCTTTAATATGATTTGGGAGCTCATTCCAAATAGACACTGCGCGATAATGAAACGTTCGCTGTCCAGAAGCCGAATTATACAGTGGAATGTCTAACTTATCCTTATTTCTGGTGTTAACACTGTGAGTTTTTTATCTCATTTCGAATTTGTCGCACAAGTATGGTGGAGCTAACCCTTTCATGCACTTAAATGTCTGACCGCATCCATGAGTTTTAACATACACTCAACTGGAAGCCAAGCTAACTGCTGAAGGATAGGCGTCACATGGTCATATTTTCTAATTCCAGTAATAACGCGTGCCGCGAAGTTTTGCACGCTTTGGAGTTTTGATATGTTCTTTTTCGAGGTGTTCGACCAAACAGAGGAGCAGTAATACATTTTACTGAAGACCAATGCTGGCATTTATAATAAGGGATAAAGTGTGTTTGTCGAAAATATGCTTGTATCTGTTGATTTGGCATAATTCTGTGATACATTTTGAGACGGTATCGACAATATGTTTGTCGTAAGTCAAAGTTGAATCCAAAGTCATTCCCAAATCTTTAACCGTCTGAAGTGGGATTATTTTCTCACCAAGAACAGTTAATATATGGAAATCTGTGCCAGAGATTTTTTCAGCATTTGACTTGCACCCAGTAATAGAAGTTTCGTTTTCTTTGGTTGCACTAGCAGACTATTTATACAACACCATGCATGCGGTAATTCTTTCCATATCAGTTGTGTAATTTTAAACGCAGCAGTTTCAACATACTAAATTGGAAATGCCAGATAGATTTTCGAATCATCCACATAAGATTCCAAAGAGGACTCTTTTGGAACATTGGGCAGGTCATTAATCCCCGAGCCGATGGCGGGAAGCGCCGTGCGAGGGTACTAATCCCCCCCGGCTATTTACACCAGGGGAAACGAAAGCATTAGCGAAGTCTAAAGCAGTGAACTATATACATGGAAGGCTGACTTCAGTCATTGACGTAATCAAAAGTGAAGCCAAAGATGGCGGATTTTGAAGCCATTCTTGCGCGTCATTCTCAGTCTCCTTACCCGCGCGGCCAAACAATTTTTGTATTTTCACGGCGGGAAGTGATGGGTCCGCGACTCTCGGGTTGTGTTTTTCTTCATTTTAGAAGAGCAAAAAAGGAAATAAACTTTATTTATTTCATGTAAACCTGATTTCCTTCATCTAATCGATCTGTCTACTGCATTTTCCCACTGTATGTGTGAGTAAATCTGTATTTTTCGTTGCAAATTCAACAACTAGTTTCAAACTTTTTTTATATATATATATAAATCTGTATTTTTATAAATTGGGAATTTATTTTTGCTTTGGTTGTTTTGTTTTTTGTTTCTATGGTGCTTTTCAGTTTTCACACCATTATTTAGCTTATTTTAGTCCGTTTTCCTGACCTAAAACTGCTTTTTAACTGCGGTTTTCGAGGCAGCTTTTAGCCAATTTAATTCCATACATGTAAGAAAATTTTGTTTTTTTATTTTTTATTTAATAAAATCACTTTGATGATTGCCTTTTAAACTTAAACTGTTCATTTTAATACGTTATTTATGTGTGTGAAACCCTTGTCGATAGGGGCAATAGAGATATTTTGAAAGATTGAGTGACATTTGTGTTTTGTTTTGTCACTCTTTGTCATTTACAAAAACAGCAATCCCGCGCTATTTTGCTTTCTTTCCACTCAAATATCGCATCTTTTAAATAAATAATAATTAAAATTTAGAGCTAAACCCAAACAAAGCACCAGAATTCAACTTTTCATTCAAATTTCGTCTGTTTTTCACCAGATTTTTACTCGGAAAGTAAAGAAAAATATAAAAGTTTAGTTGACCGCGCACGTAAGGGGACTGAGAATGACGCGCAAGAATGCCTTCAATTTCCGCCATGTTTGGCTTCACTTTTTGAGCTCGAGTCAGACTTCCATGTTATATAGTTCAGTGGTCTAAAGTTCATCAATCATCGCGGGCGCTGACCAACGAACGACGATCTTGAGTGGATGGTCATCCTCACTTATCTCAAAATTATGGCAAGCAAGATTTCAATTTTAAAAGACATATATTTGGAAAATCGTTTCATATACAACAAGCTTGAAGCAATTTTGTTTGAAGAAATGAGAAGAATTGGTTTACTACAGGAAATCGTGAAATGTACGGCAAGTTTGCTTTGAATATTCTTAAAATGTTTACGAATTTTGTTGCTATAACTTTTTACGTAATAAAAAACATGAACTATAGAAGCTCTAAGTTTCATAAATTACCGTTTAATTTGAGAAAAAATCTTAAAATGTAAAGGCGAACA